CAGAAGAGAATTTACTCTACTTATTACTTTATTAATACCTACAGTAATCTTTGGAGTATTTCCTAACACTATACTAGATTTTATCCATTTTTCAGTTGCAAATTTATTATATTCGTAAAACAATACACCGCTACTCGTCTCATTCCTCATCCTTCCAGGAGTTTTGCTTCATTCTTGTTTTAATAATAAAATGTCCTAAGCAATTTATGGAACATGGGATCCCTATCAAGTTGTGTGTTTATATCCCCTTTTTGCTCGATTTGCTTCTTGAACTTTGTGAACACGGCACACAGTTGGAAGACTGTCGAGAATCACCTACATTGGACCTGATTAATCGACACACCCTAAGGAGAAGTTGACACCACACCTACAAGGGAAAAGGTGTCAACGTTGTCTGAGGAAAGATTAAATAGTCTAAGAAAATTCTACATAAGTTTAATAGTTCTGACTTTCTGTCTAGTCAATCGTTCCTCATTCCTTACCTTCTATCTTCGGTTTCCCCGGCAAAATTGCGTACGTGTTTATAAAATAAAAGATAGAGGTTCTAATTTGAATCCTCTCAAAGATGATAATATACATTACATTTGTCTTACAATTTTATTGTTTTTGGTTGTACCTACTTGATTTTAAAAAATATCCTGGTTAAGCCTTTTGTCAGATTACTATTAAATTATTAATTAGAGCGTAATTTAATGCAGGCTTTTTATTTACTTAATTTTCATGCTTAATCTCTTTACTTTCCTCTATATAGAGGCGCTAACTAATTTACCTTTGGTTTCTCAATTTCTTAATAATAAACAAGGGATTTACATGCTTTTTTACGTGGATCCAAAAGGAGTTCTACATAACTATATAGGTAGCTCTGTTGATATAGGTCGAAGAATTCCTGAACATGTTCGTGATGCTAGACCTGGTCAATCTAATTACCATGTACATAATTCTATGAGACATTATGGAATTCATTGTTTTAATGTAGGAGTTTTATCTTTCTTAGGGTACTCGATATTTCTTTAGATACTTTACAGGCAGTTGAACGAGAGTATATCACAAAATTTAAACCTAGTCTAAACATGACTAATGGGACTAATTGCTTTTCTGCTGGTTCAGCTTGTGAACCAGTTTTAGTAACTGGCCTTAATACTTTAGAAGTTACTAAATATCCTTCAGTTAAGGGAGCAGCAAGAGCCCTAGGAATTGATCCACGTACTTTACGAGAAGCAATCCAAAAAGGATATACAGTTTTAAAACAATACAAAGTTAAATATGCAACTGATTGTTAATATTTTCCTGCTGCATATATATTTATTTAATAACCCTCCGAAGCATCTCTTTCAAAGTGAGTGGACCTGCGAGCTCATGTTTTTACTTTTGTTTTTGCCCTTTTTGGGGTGAGTAAATATCGACTAAACAAGATTAACGAAATAGGGCGGTCTCCTGTCTTTGTTGTGCAATTGATCCCGGCAGAGGTGAAAATTATCTGTAATTATAGTAAAGGAATTATAGGCTATTTGACTAATTTCTACCAATAATAGGTAGTGAATCCATAATTCTTGATATGAAATTGAACCTCTGCAATTAGCTTTAGCCTAGACAAGCTCACACGATACTCCATATTCCCTCTGCTTTTTTTCATTTACCTGTCAGCCTTTTATTTTCTTGTAATAACATAAAAGAGGTAGAGTATTTTTACTAATCTCTAATGTTAAATGTTATCATTACTTCTAGTA